TCCTGTAATTTAATAACTGAATTTATGTCACCCCTGCAAAACATTAACAAATCGTCAGCAAAACATATATGTGTCACTCCCAGCTTTTTGCACTTTGGATGGAATTTGAACTCCTTTTGATAGGACAGTTTGTTCATCTCCCTTTGTAAGTATTCCATAGCAATCATAAAGAGATAAGGAGACATTGGACCTCCTTGTCTTATTCCTCTCTTAGCTGGAAAAGGTTTGGTAAGTCCACCATTCAGAACCAAGATATAGGATATTGTTGTCACACATTCCATTATCCATAGAATGAACTTTTGAGGGAAGCCAAGATCAGTAAGCATGTATCTAACAAACTGCCAATCCAATGAGTCATAAACTTTCCTTAGGTCCACCTTGAGAACACATCTTGGAGACAAGCCTTTCCTATTATAGCCATTGAATAATTCATGACTGAATAGGATATTATCAACAATACTCCTCCCTTCTATAAAAGCAGACTGTGCTTTCCCAATTATATGCTCAATTACCCTTTTGATTCTTTTAGTCAAGATCTTGGCAATGATTTTGTACACAGTAGTGCAGCAAGCAATAGGTCTATAGTCTTTCACTGTTGTAGGGGCTGAAACTTTAGGGATTAAAGTTATGGCTGTACAATTCCATGCTTGCTTCGTCTTGCCTGTTTGGAAAAAGAATAACACAACATCATATATATCTTGTCTCACTTCCTTCAAGTGCTTTGTAAAGAATTTTATTGGGAAGCCATCAACTCTTGGGGCTTTACCATTTGGCATGTCTTTCACTGCTTTATCTATTTCTGCATATGTAATGTCCTGTATTAGGTCCTGTTGTTGTTGTCTTGAGAGGCACTCTCCTTCTTTGATGAATCTGGTATTAGGACATGGCTTTATTCCAGTAGCTTTTCCCATAAGTTGTTTGAAAAATCATGTGAATTCTTTTTCTACAGTTTTAGGGTAGTGATCTTAACTCCCAAATCATTATACACAGTAGTAATTGTGTTCTTGCTTGCTCTAATCTTCAGTTGTGCATAGAAATATTTAGAGTTTGAATCCCCATAATCAATCCAATTTACTCTAGCCTTCTGCCTTAGAATTCTCTCCTCTATGATGCTCCATTTCTCTAGATCCTGCAGAGTTTGTTTTTCCTGTTCTATCAACACTTGATTGAAAGGATCAAGTATCAAATTGGCCTGAGTACACTCCAGTTTCTGTCTTATTTGAGTCAATCTCTGTTTATATCTAGCCATCTCCTTGTTTAGGCCTCTAGTCTCAGCTTTTAGCTTTTGTAACTTCTGCCAGATACCAGTCATAGGGTCATCTCCAAGCTTCTGCTTCCAAATTCTATCTACCATAGGCTTAAACTCCTTGTGCTCCATTGTTACCATGTAGAGTTTGAATGGCTTGGGATATATAGTACTCCTTTTCCATATTTGGACCAAGATAGGTGAGTGATCTGACACTCCAGGTTCTAAAAAATCAGCTTCCACATGCCCATAGTCTTTAGTCCATTCAAAATTGCCAAAAGCCCAATCAATCTTACTGTAAACTCTATCATTTGCACTTTGCTTATTACACCAAGTAAAAAAAATAACCCTTTGTCCTTAATGGGGTCAGTTGCATGTATCAATACATTCCTTGAACTCCTGAACCTCATTCACAGTAACTGGTTGTCCTAATCTATCATCTGTGGTTAGGACATTGTTAAAATCACCACTTATGAGCCAGGGAACTTGAACCTGCCCCCCTAACTATTGCAAACCATACCATAGACTTGCCCTTTCCTGCAGCTTGTTTCTAGCATACACTACAGTCAACATAATCTGATAACCAGTCACTGGATCAATCACTAGACAATGAATGAACTGCTCATGGATTTGAATTATGTTAACTGTCAAAGTGGTCTTCCATAACACCCATATTCTCCCATTTTCAGCCTTAGCATAGTTACAGCAATAACCCTAATCCTTAGCTACGTTATACAAGATATTTTTTGCATTCTTTTCTTTTACTCTGGTCTCTAGACATCCTAAGATATCTATTTTATTCTTTTGCAGAAAGATTCTCAGTTCCTTCTGCTTATAGGGCTTATTCAGCCCTCTTATGTTCCAAGTACCTATAATCATGGTGGTTTTTGTATAGGATCAGAGTTATTCACCCCTCCATGTACAGAAACTTGCCCACACTCTTCCAAAACTGTAAATCTATTAGAAGTGCTAGCCTCACCATTTATATCCTGCTGAACAACTGGAGTATTCTGCCTTTCACTACTATCCTTTCTTTGTATCATCATACTCCTTTGGTCTGGTTTATCTGCTATGTTCTGCTTTCCTTTGTCAATTGGAGGTTGTACTTCAATCACCTCTTCAATCCCCTCTTCTTGTTCCTGTTGATCTTTTGGCTTCCATTCCTGAATAACTTTCCTCCTCCTGCCTCTATTTCTTCTTTTTGGGGCCTTGAATTCAGTATCTTTGTGATGTTTGATTGACTTCCAGCACTCAAAGCTATCATGACCAAAATGTAAGCATTCAACACAGAATTTTGGCCTCCATTCATACAATATTTCCTGCTGTCGAGTACCAGTGGGAGTTGCAATCTCAAAATTCTTCACTAATGGCTTTGTAATGTCAACTTTCACAAGCACTCCGGCATAGGAGATTTTGTTCAGTTCTGCTGTAAATTTATCTGTGTACATTGGTAAACCTACAACACTAGCCACCTTACTTAATGCATCAGCAGTCCAATACTCAGCTGATAGACTAGGTAAGTGAATCCACAAGGGAATAGTAGTGATACATTTAGGATCAAAGTGGAAATCTCTTTCCCAATTCTGCAGAATAAATGGCTTGTTATGATATGAGTATGGCCCTGCTTGCACGACTTCATCTCTTTCCTCCACTGTTGTGAATCGAAACACATAATATCCTTCTTGGTGATACAGAATTTGGGGTCTAGTGACAAAATCCCACACTGATTCTACATAGTTCTCCATAGATTTCTCATACGGAGTATCCCCAAGTGCATACCCAATTAGAGCAGTCCCCCAGTATTCATTTAGTTTACTTACATCTTCTTCCTCTATTTGAATGACAACCTTACCATCTCTATGACTTGGTGGAACATACTCCAACCTCATCCCCATCTGAGAGTTACTATTCAGCTGTCTAAGCTCCTTTGTATGCATGACCTTCTCCTTTCCTGCCTCCGCGGTTGCTATAAGATCTGGATCTGGAGATGGCTTTGAAGATCAAGCTTCAGAAAATTGCAATCGTTTTGGACTGGTTGGCAATTGATCCTTACATTTCTGAGCTTCCTTCTCTATAACAACATTTGTATTGTTCCATTGATTATTGTTCCCTTCTTCATCCTCACTTAGCTCCTTTTCCTCTTGAATTGGTTGGAATCTAGTTGGTAAAAAACTTCCAAAAGTTAACGGAGTGAGAGTCGGTATCGCTGAGTTCACCGGTGTTATAGCAGCAGTCACCGACGCTGCTTGTTTGCGTATCCTTGCCATAGATGGTGCACGTTAGCCTTCCTTGGCTTATCTTGCGCCAAGAGCATTTAGGAGAGTCATTCGCTTGATAATTTTTTTCCGGATGTAGATCAATTTCATTATTTAATTTTTTTCATCATTTATATCCATTTTAAGCTTTAAATATTTATACCATCCTTAGGCTAAAATTGCATATTTTGCAATAATAGCTCATATATATGCATAATTACATTATTTACACAAAAAATGGCTTTTTATACTTTTATAATGTTAAGTAATTATTTTAAAACATTTTCATGCATAAGTGGTATTTTTGTTATTTATTAATTATTTTTTATAAATTATTCACTGATTTATTTGGGTATTTAAAATCTAACCCTTTTTTTAATTAATTTCGGACCTATACACTACCCATTACCCTAGCCTAATACCCTAATACCTAATACCCAAATACCCATTAACCCAGACAATACCCGTTCAAAAACCCGACTCAATTCCTTTTTTAAAATTACAGCCGTTGATCTCTGAAGATCAACGACTCACAACACCCCAACCCCTTTTAATTATATCCTACCCGGTCTAACCCTAACCCCATTTCACCTACTCCGCCACCCTCAAACTCTCTCATCTCCCCCATCCCCTTTTCTCTTCTGAAACCCTAGCGACTCACTCCTATCTCCCCTCTGATTCTAACCCCATAAATGGAATCAACCTGTGATTCCTTGCCTTTTTTGGTCCTATTTCCTTACTGTCTACCCGTTCTTTGCTGTTACATAATAGCTTGCCTAAAACGGCAAGCAAATCTAGAGATATCCGAACCAAATCTGGTTCAAAACCTCTAACCTGTTGATTATTTCCGTTTGTGTTCACTCTAACCTCTGTAAGTACGAATATGTTCATATATCTTGTGGAGTCTTACTTAACCCTAAGGTTAGGGTTTCAGATCTTTTCGATTCGAACCCAAAACTGGTTTTCACCTTATTTTTTATGTTATTCCGTATAAATCTGCTTATTTTTTGTTAAATCTTTTAGTTACCTAATTTAGGGTTTCAAATCTTCTTTAATCAAACCAGATCTGGTTCGATTCTATGAATAACCCCTGTCTATGTTCATTTTACTAAAATACTTGATTCTTTGCCTTTGTTTTTATCGATTTTATCGCTTACCTAAAATTTGGGTTTCAAACCTTTTTTATTTTGGGGCCAGATCTGTTTCAGTTGTGTATTCTATAGACATGTTCCCGTCTATGTTCATCCTATGAAGCATGAGACTCTTGCCTTTTATCTCTGTTGATTTTATGGTTTTTACCCGAAAATTAGGGCTGAAACCTTTTACTGACTTCCGTTTACTCTTTCCTTTCTCGTATAGTACTGATATTTTCCGTATTTTGTTCACCCTACCTTGTTCATTTACTTCTTTACCTTATACGCTGATTGATGATTGATTCTATACTTACCTTATTCTAAGTAGTACTTGCCCGATTACTCGTTAGTCTACTGAACTCTGACTTCAATTGATTCTGGATTTATTTTCTTTCCTGATTTGTGTATGTTTGATTTATTCCCTTATTTGTCTGCCTAATTGAACACTATTTAAACCCTTTCCCCTCTTCCCTTTAGGACAAGACTCAAACTCTCATACTCTCACTAAAACTTAGTTCTTTTACTCTGATTCTGTGCTCGTTGTTTCTGGTCTTGGCCGGCTGAGGCCAAGGACAAGTGATTCTGGAACTTAACTGCTGTAGCATATCTACTTGCTTTCTTGCTTAACTGGTAAGCCCTAATCCCTTGTCATTTCATTCTTCATATTTTTCATAATCAGTGTTACTTGAACAGCATGCCTTGAACCTTACTTTTAGCATGATTCTACTTTTTGTGCTCCTATGACTCTCTTATAATCTTATGATTAATACTGTTAGTTTAAGATTAGCTATTTTGATTAATATGAATCCTCTTATAAGTTAGCTTAATGTTCAAATTTGTCCGGGCACACTGTTTGTTAATCCTACACCCGTTTCGAACCTTGCATTCTTAGGATACCACAAACATGTAATTAGTTAATTTGTCCTAATTTGTTGCTCATGCGCCCTGCCTGTTAATATGTCATGTGGTGATCTGACTTTTCCTAATTTATTTCTGTGATTAAACAATGGTTGTCTTAAATGTTAGCATGCTCCCTTAGTGTAATTAAGTCTCTCTTCTGAATTAACCTGTTTGAAACTATGTACTTTGTAAACTTTGCTGTTTTCTGAATGCAATTCTGTGTTCTAAACCTTGTTTCTTCTGAAGTCAAACTGTTTTGAAAACTGCCCCTACTCTCTTTTATATGCTGATTTTTAAAACCTCACTCTTAGTCCCTTAGGTTCTCAACCACCCCAGTGTGAGCTTTGCTCAGGGTCCACATGACACTCCTGTGAACTTTGACACACTGGGAACTGGTTACCCATCTCTTGTGAATCATCTGCTGAATACATGGTTCTGGTGTGAGCATTGCCCTGGGTCCCTGAGGCCCTTGGGAACTTTGTCACACTAGAAATCTGGTTCTATATGTGCTATGATTGAATCACTCATGTTTTGGCTATGTTGTACTTATGAAATGAGCCTCAAAGTTGATTGGTGTGAAGGCCTGGTTCCCAGGTTCAGTTGGGCTTAATGAAGGCTCCCTATAGTTTATCTTACTACTATTATGTAATTTATTCATTTACTCTGGCCTGTAATAAGTTTGTAACAAATAGATTCTGGGGTATATAGTAAAATTGGGAAGGATCTTTATTCTCTTTGGGCAATCCGGGTAGAAATCCTGCCAATAGGGTTTCATTTGCTCTGTTAATCCCGTTTTACCTCATCTCTGTTAAAATCGCGTGAGTGATATACTATGCTTGCATATTAGAAATCCTGCCTATAAGAAATTAAATTGCATTAGAAATCCTGCCTATAGGTTGTATTAACTTGTCCAACAAACATATGTTAGCAATCATGCCTACAGGACCTCAATGTTGATCTAACTGTTTTTCCTTTCTGGTAATATGCACCATTTCTGCCCGTATTACTGCTCAATAGATATCACGCCTGTAGGACTAAAAACTAAAATCAATTTCGAATCTAGAAATCATGCCTATAGGATTTAAATCAATTCAGTAATAGATACTATGCCTATAGGACTAAAAGCGTTTCTAACATAAAGATCATGCCTATAGGATTTAAGTCAGTACAGTAATTAGAAATCAAGCCTATAGAGTTAAAATTAGTTCGGCATTAGATATCACGCCCATAGTATTCTGTCAATTGGCTTTGGGTACAATCGCCTTAGTAAATCAATTAAACAATATGTTTAATAATAATTCTGGATTCGGTAAGCATGATGCATTACTGTCTGAAGTACCCAGACGATATTCAATAGGCAAATAATAGGTCCTAATACCCGCCTTAACGAAGATGCTTCTATATAACACCGCTCGCCTATTTTCTCACATAGATATCCTGTCTATAGGATTCTGCAGATTAATAAAACCTGCTAATTAATTGCGTGCATTTGCTGTTTATGTGCGGAGGTTAACATGAGCCCATATTTGCTTTACATTGCAAGTCCAAACATGTTTTATTTGTCGCCTAGTTTTTTATATTTTGAGCAACCTAGGCTTAGTCTAAAACTATCCCAAATAGAGGTCTTAATACCTCCAGGGCCATAGGTAAGGGACAGGTAGTGCACATATAGGTACGAACTGGAATCAATTAGAGCGCTTTAGGTAACAACTTAAAGATAGTGATAGGGTAGCAGGAGATGATAGTCTGTGCCCGCTGAATAATATAAGTAACACCCCGACTCGAGGGAGTTACGAAGTATTATTTATGTTGCACGGGGTGATCCTTTAGGCTAAAAAACTTAGGACCCCCCAATCCCTATCAAATACTCCTCTCGCTTCTTTATTAGACTAATTCATAAGTTAAGTTCAGCCGGGACCCACCGGTGTGGACCTTGAAGGGTGCCTAACACCTTCCTTTCGAGGTAATTTCGAGCCCTTACCCGATCTCTGGTGATGTAAACTGGTAACATGAGTTATTTGCTCTAGGTGCCCTAACGCACCTTAATCTGTTAGGTGGCGACTCTTTCAATTTCAATTCCCCACCCTCTCAAAAAGGAGTTGTCCCAGAAATGCAACTCAGATAAGGGAAGCTTGGAAAATTATGGTGTATAAGAGAGAAAGTTGATGCGTATACGCAAAAGTTTTGGCGGCTAAATTTATGGCCATGATTACCTCGATAATCGGCAAAAACTATGCTAAATCGTGGAATGACGCGTGTACGGGACATTAAATACGAAGAGACGNAAGGTTTTGCTTTTTATTTCTACTGTTAATCTAATAATTGCAAGATAAAGAAAATGGACTAGAGATAAATGTCTTTAAGATTTTTCTAAAGGGGTAAAAGACTTAGGGCTGTGACCATACCTTAGGTGTTTTACTAATTGGGTAAAGACGTTAATGTTTGTTTTGTTGGGTAAAGACGTTAACTGGACAAAGATGTTACCCACTCAATACCTCACAGTCAGAGAGTGGTTTTGAATTTGGCTTTCTCAAGACCAAAAGGGTATCATCCAAAATAGTTGCAATCTCTCAATTCACCCAATTCCTTGTTAGCTAAGATGAATTCTTCCAGAATATGAGAGCATCCTAGCTGACCAACATCTTACTCTTTCAGTAATCTTTTCCACCAGAGGTAGACATTGGTAGATATTCAGTTTCCTTGCAGACAATGGTACCCCCAGATACTTAAAGGGTATAGAACCCTCTGTATATCCAGTAAGCTCTATCAATTGCTCCTTTATATGCTGTGCCACACCAGCAATATAGATGGAGCTCTTTTCTGCACTTGCCTGCAGCTCAGATGCAGCTGAAAATCTATTAAAGGCTTCCTGTAATTTAATAACTGAATTTATGTCACCCCTGCAAAACATTAACAAATCGTCAGCAAAACATATATGTGTCACTCCC